ATAACATTTGATGAGTCTAACTTTGTGATTCAGGACAAAATTACAAAGAAAGTTCTTCACAAGGGATGTAACATCAATGGACTTTATCATTTTATGCCACCTATTGCTTCATCTGCTGCTTCCCCAGTTTGTTCACAGGCTTTTGTTACTAGTACTAATAAAATTCCTGCTAAGTCTACTTCTGTGACACCTACTATTTGGCATAATAGACTAGGCCACCCTTCTTCTGTAAAATTTCATCATCTTCAACATCATTTGCATCTTAAATCTGTACCGTTTGCTACTCAAGATTGTGTAGATTGTTGTGTTGCTAAAAGTCATCGTCTTCCTTTTCATTTGTCAACTTCAAGTGTAAATAAGCCTCTTTCTCTTATTCATAGTGATGTTTGGGGCCCTTTTCATTCTTCTTCTACTTACAAATACTATGTGATTTTTGTGGATGATTTTAGTAAATTTACTTGGTTGTATCCTCTAGTATACAAAAGTGAGGTCTATGACAAATTTTTGGAATTCAAAACTTATGCTGAGAAACAATTTGATACTGTTTTAAAAATATTTCGTACTGATGGTGGAATTGAATTTTGTAATAATAAAATGAAGAACTTTATTGTTGCTAATGGCATTCTTCACCAACATTCTTGCCCATACACTCCACCACAAAATGGCACTGCTGAAAGAAAACATTGGCATATCACAGAGACAGCCGTTGCATTGATTCATCATTCCTCCATGCCTCTTAAATTCTGGTTTGAAGCAGTTGCTGCTGCTACTTATTTGATCAATAGACTTCCTTCTACTCAGCTGCAGCATCAATCTCCTTTTGATGTTTTATTTCATCATCCTCCAGATTACTCATTTCTCAGGGTTTTTGGTTGTCTCTGCTATCCTTGGCTTCAGCCTTATTCCTCCACTAAATTTCAACCTAAGTCTCTACCTTATGTGTTTCTTGGTTATCATCCCTTTGCTAAGGGGTACAGGTGTCTTGATCCTATTTCTGGCCGGATTTATCTTTCTAGACATGTTCTTTTCAATGAATCTGTCTTTCCTTTTCAGCAACTGTCTTCTACCTCTTTTTCTCTTCCTTTACCTCAAATTCAATCTTTCTTTTGGTCTATTATCCCTATTCCATCCCCAGCAGCTCCACTAGCATCTCTCTCTACTTCTACAGCATCTTCATCATTTCCCTCAGTTGCGGTTTCATCAGCATCTCTGTCTGTTTCTCCAGCAGCAACAACACCTCTCTCTGTTCGGCCTCCTTGTGGTTCTACTCCTTCCATTCCTATTAATTCCCTCTCAGTCCACTTACCATTACTTCCTCCTACCACTACAAATGTTCATCCCATGATTACCCGCTCTAAACTCTCTTCTCAATGTTTACTTCATACCAAGCTTTCTGCTCTCTACTCTGATTCTGAACCTCCATCTCATACAGAAGCTCTTCTTTCTCCTATTTGGCTTAAGGCTATGCAAGCTGAATTTGATGCCTTGCAACAGCAACGTACTTGGTCTCTAGTTTGTCTTCCCCCAGGCAAAACTGCTATTTGTTGTAAGTGGGTTTTCAAGGTGAAAAGGAATTCGGATGGTACCATTGCTAGACACAAAGCTAGACTTGTGGCCAAAGGGTACCTGCAGCAAGCCGGTGTGGATTTTCAAGAGACCTTTATTCCTGTAGCTAAGCTTCCAACCATCAGAATTTTGCTCTGTCTTGCTCTTCATCATCAGTGGCCCTTGAAACAATTGGATATATCCAATGCCTTCCTTCATGGAGTTCTTGAAGAGGAAGTGTTTATGCTTCAACCACCAGGGTTTGTTCATCCAAATTACCCTCATCATGTTTGTCATCTCAAGAAAGCTTTATATGGCTTAAAACAAGCACCCCGGGCTTGGTATTCTACATTTTCCAATTATCTTTTATCCAAGGATTTCATAATAGCAAGTGTGATTCTTCTTTATTCATCCAGCAAACCAGCACTACTTTTACTGCTCTTTTGGTTTATGTGGATGACATTTTAGTTACAGGCAATGATGGTTCTCACATTCAAACACTCATCTCTCATATGCACACTGCATTTTCTATGAAAGAACTTGGTGACTTATCCTATTTTTTGGGTATTTCCATCACACCAACTCCCACTGGCTATGTTTTGTCCCAACAGAAATATGCTGAGGACATTCTTCGTAAGGCAGGCTTAGTTGATTGTAAACCGTGTCCATCACCTATCTCAGTTAAACCTTCCTTTGCTCCTGATTCATCAGCTCCATTTTCTGATCCTGCTCTCTATCGTAGCCTTGTTGGTGCTCTCCAATACCTTATCATAACTCGTCCAGATATTTCTTTGGCAGTTAATCACTCTTGTCAGCATATGCATGCTTCCACCATTGGACATTTTGCTGCAGTTAAACGACTGCTACGTTTTGTTAAAGGTACTATTGGACATGGTCTGACCTACTCTCCCAGCTCGTTTGATGTTCAGGCCTACTCTGATTCTAACTGGGTTGGAGATGTTTCCGACCGAAAATCTACCTCAGGTTATTGTATTTTCTTGGGTTCTAACTTGGTGTCTTGGTCTGCCAAAAAGCAGGCCACAGTCTCTCGCTCTTCCACTGAAGCCGAGTACCGTTCTCTTGCCCATACTGCTGCCGAGTTGGCTTGGATTAGCATGCTCCTCACTGAATTGTCTATTGCCTCTCCTGTGCCTCCTACTCTCTGGTGTGACAATATTTCTACTATGGCGTTGGCTTCCAATCCAGTATTTCATTCCAGGTCTAAACACATTGAAGTAGACTGCCACTATGTTCGAGAACAAGTTTTCGCTAAAAAGCTGGTTCTTCAGTATATTCCAACTATTGACCAGTTGGCTGACATCTTCACTAAACCTCTTTCTGTCTCCAGATTTTTGTACCTCAAAGACAAGCCTATGGAGTCCACTCACCCCATTCGCTTGACGGGGAATGTTGAGGACATTGCATCAAAGCCCAAGCATAGCAGAGCCCAAGCATAGCAGCTCAGCCTCTATTCTGTTTCAGCAATAAAGCAGAGCTGTTAGACAGTTGGATAGTTTGTTAGATGGTTAGACAGTTACACAGTTATCAGAATTAACACATGTGTTGAGATACATATCTCTTGTATAGATATAATTGTAGTACTATATATATATGAAATATCTTGTACATTGAGTATGGAATAAGAATTTCAGCTTTTCTTCAATATGCGAGGGAGAGAGATTTTATATTTAAAAAAATTTAAAGTAAGACCTACCAATTACCCTTGAGCTTCTTAAGACTCAACATACAGATTGCAAAGATCTATGTGTAAAAAATGTTTTCCTAGAACAATATCAATCATCTATGAATGACATAAACCCTGGGAAATCATTCTGAATGGGTTCAGTTGATTCATCCATAAGACCATAAAACTAAACATTTCTCTCAACACTAAACCATGGAAATTCAAGTGTCTTGTAGGTTGTCTAATTTTGTTATTTCTGGTAATTTTACTGATATAAAGAACAAAAAGCATGATACTCAAATTTTGTTTTCTTTCATTTTTCTTTGCTTTCCTAGCAACCAAACAGTAGTTTTGGGCTAACAACTAACAACAGGATATTAGAGAATGCCAAGAATGAGAAGAACAAATATCACAATAAAAACCTAACTTCAAGTCAAAAAAATTCAATTAACGCAAACCTAGATCTAGATATCTAATAATAGGTCATTTTCATCAAATAAGCATGAAATTGTATAGATTTAAACAATACCCAGAAACGGAAAACAATAATTTCAGAGAAAAAATATGATCAAAATCTAGAATTGGCAAGAGAATGAGGGTAATTGTGGGGCAATGAATGAATATCACCTTGGAGGTCTTCTCTGGGAGTAAGATTCCAGCATTGGTCTTGGATGGAGGAATGATTTACAATTTTTGGTTTTGTCTAGGCTAATGAATCTAGTGAGGCAAAACTTTGATGATCTGTATTGTACAAATCTAGCAAGCTAAAATCATGGAAAGAAAACCTCTTATCTTAGCAAAATCAAAGACCCGCCACCAAGCTAAGATATGCATATACATATATACATATGTACGATCAATTACATGCCCAAGATGACTACTAAAATGGAGCATATCCAGTTGACAGAGGGCTTGATCACAGTGAGGATCTCAAACCAAAAAATTAGTAGTTCAAACCAAAAAAAGGTTCTAAACTCAGAAAATATCGAAGAAAAGCACGCAGGTTTCTCAATGGAACACAAAAAAATAATGTATAGCAAATAGATAGAAAGAAAAGGGCATCAATCAGAAGGAGATATATGAGATTTTTGGGAGCTGAAAATATTTTTTTGGATTTGGGGGATGTTTTGAATCTTGTCCTTCTTAGAATCTGAACCCAACAGATTCAGAATCTGAACCAACAGATTCTAAGTTTTATTAGCAATCGAATACTTTTCCATTACAAAAAATCTAACTTTGAATACAATTTTTTTTTTTTAAAGAAAAAAAAAACAGAGCATGGAAATGGTTAAAAAAAACAACCCAATGGAACAAACACTCAACGATACAAAGTCATTTATAAAAAAAATATGTTTAATATGTTTATAAGAGTCATACATGCTCCACTTGAGCATTAGACACATCAAAATCTGCAAAAAGAAAAAAAAAAAAAAGGATTGTGACATGAATCATACATGCAGGCACCCTGGACAGACCACTTTAGAATATTTAAAGAAAGCAACTAAGGTATCTACAGAAAGTCAGACCATAAATACTGCCTCGTATCATAGCAAGTACAATGTCATGCATTGTTAAAGGTATCATCATGTAAACAAAAGATGTTTTATGGATGTTTAGCTATGCAACTTGCTAAAACAACATTTTCATTAGAAAAAAAGAAAACAATGGAGAGTTACACCACTGTTTCATGTAAATTGGAGTCAACCGTGCCATTTTGTTATGACCTTCAAGAACCACATATATGCCAGCTATAGGTTAAGACAGAACATAAATGCAGAGGATCAGGTTTTTCTGAGTTCAAATAGGACAAAGGGATTTTCCACAAGTTGACGCAATATTCCATTGATGATTACAGAAAAATGATAACATAAAAAGTGCAATCACAAAGGGTGAGTGATGGCTTGAATCCTTTTTTTCCATGGTAATATTTTCAAATCAGAAGGCATGATATGAGGAATAACATGTACCTATTAATATAGAAAACAAAAGAAGGTTGGCATCTACTTGAAGGTGAATAGTCACGCCTAGAATGTCCTGGGGACAAAACAATGTTCAGGTCTCCATGATGACACTTGAAAAAAAGTACTGGTGTAAAGGATTTGAGGAATAACATATACCTACTAATATAGAAAACAAAAGAAGGTTGGCATCTAGCTGAAGGTGAATAGTCATGCCTAGAATGTCCTGGGGACAAAACAATGTTCAGGTCTCCATGATGACACTTGAAAAAAAGTACTGGTGTAAAGGATTTGAGAAGAAATCAAGAATTCAAAATGAAGTAATATAGTACCTACAATAAATGTGGTTGCAACCTGCTGCAAGTTCAACCACACACTGGCGCCACAGATTCCTCTTTGCAAGAGTTTTCAACTTCTTATCTTCTGCACGTGGATGAGGATTTAAAATTTTAAAAGGGTAAATTACATTTACCTCCCCTGAGGTTTCTGACAAATACAGGGACCTCCCCTGTAGTTTCAATAATTACACTAACTTCCCCTACTTTACCTGACATTGTACAGATTCCCCCAATCCGTCAATTATACATAAACGACGTTACTTTTGTATACAAAATGACCATATTACCCTTTTATTTGAGCATGAAAAGACGAAAATACCCTTTGATTATAGTATTCAACTTTGTTTTTAATTTTAATTTTAATTTTTTTGTTCTCTCTCATCTCATCTCATCCCCCAATCCCAACTTCACTCTGGTTTCCAATTGCAACAGCAGTGTAATCTGAATTCTCTAAATCACTCCCCAGATGTCCGTCATCTTCCTCTTCTTTCTCTCTCTACAACTCCACATCTCTCTTCTCTTTTCTTCCTCCTCCACCACTGCCGCCCGCCTCCATACCACGGCCTCATCATGTCCTCTTGATTTCGACGTCCTTCGCCGACTCATTCAATCCTCAAATCGTCCAAACCACGACTCCGATTTCGTCTCTTGTCACTACATCAAGGTCGGTCTCCGACTCATTCAGTCTGATTATCTCCGAATCACCAACAATTTTCTTCTTCCGATTGACTCCGCCGAGTCTTGTTGGGTTTCATACCAAACCCTAATAAACGATTTCTTCCCCAATTTCAATGATATTCGCAAATCTGCAGTTTCCAGGCCTCTTGGATCGCCGAAGGTTGTATGAACATCACTACTCTTGATGCATTCGAAGGCAATGTTTCGAAATCGGCGTTAGACGATGCCATGAAGGCGTGTAATCAATCTCTTGGTAACGGTTGGCCGTGCGCTTCTTGCACCACCAGTCTCTCGAGCCTCCAGCCTTCGAATTTGAACGGCCGATCAATTGGAAACCTCTTCGATTGCATGGCGTACCCTTCGATTTACGCTGCAGTGTTTATCAATCGTTTCGGCCCAACCGATGAAGATACTGCCAACTGTCTGTTTGGTTTTGATTTTTCTGATTTGAGCAATTCGAATGGTAGAGTTAGAACCATTGTGATTTGTGTAGTTGTGATAGGTTGTGGGTTTGTTTTGTTTCTGGGTTGTGGTGGGTTTTGGATTTTACAGCGAAAACGCGAGAAAATTAGGGAGAGAAGTAAGGTTGATCATGAGAGAGAAACTAATTTAGCTTTTGGAATGAATTCAATCAATGAAAGTACTACTTTAGTTAGGTACACATTTGAGGAGACATTTTTGAAGATTTATGAGAGAGTGAGAGAGTGAGAGAGAGAGATGGTAATGGAGTTAGCAGTCACAAAATGAAGGCAAAGGAAACTATTCACTATTTTCTCAGAAAATATACTGTTCCGGACATAGATGGATTGAGGACACTTGAGGGCATTATAGACATTTTAATGTTTGGCTTTGATGACATCAGCTTTTTCTGTGAAATAAATAAACGGAAGTCAACACCTACAATAAATGTGGTTGCAACCTGCTGCAAGTTCAACCACACACTGGCGCCACAGATTCCTCTTTGCAAGAGTTTTCAACTTCTTATCTTCTGCACGTGGATGAGGATTTAAAATTTTAAAATCATTGCATAATAAAATGAAAATAGTAGAAAAATAGGGATATGATAAACGAACTCAGAGATTCATCAGATAAGTAACAGTAGTCGATTAGATTTGTTTGTGAGATCAATTGAAAGTAAAGTGATAGCAATCAAACATAATAAAATGAAAATCTTTGTGATTTTGACATTCGTTTTGAGTAAATAGAGTGATCTTTACCTTTAGTTTGAGAAGAGTGAGCGAAGTGATCGACTCGAGATAGACTTGAATTGGAATTCGATTTGAGGATCAAAGACGAAACTGAATGATTTTGGATTTTTTTATAATGATTTTAATTAACAGAGAGAAAAAGGGGACATAAAGAGAAGGGGAGCGAGCATCTTACCTTGTGAGCCGAGACTAGAGAGTAGTTTCGGGAGCGAGCGAGAAGGGAGGGTAGGAAAGAAGAAGAACAGGGAGGGAGAAAGAGATAAAGAGGGAATGGGGTGGGTGAGAACAGAGAAGCGAGAGAGATAAAGATAAAATTGAGGGGAGACGTGGGTAAGTGGAAAGGTGAGAACAAAGAAGGGAGAGAGATGAAGATAGAATGGAGGGGAGATGTGGGTAAGTAGGAAGCTTACTGTTTGAGCGGGAAGTAAATGTAGATATATACTTAAGATTGATATATACTTAAGGGGATCATCTCAACCATCCATCTAAATACACAAATGAATCATGACCATTAAAATATCTTAATAGGACAATTGTCTCTAAGATAAATTCAAAAACCATCTTCCCTTGTTATATGGATATATATGTATATGTATGTAAATATTCATAATATATATTGTGTTTTGGATAAATACCTTAACCTGATGAAACTGCAATCTTAAACTGAATAAGTTGTAAAATGGAAGTATGCAAACATTATAAGATAATTACTACAACGAATCATTAAAAAAACAAGAAAAATAAAGTTGATATTGAAAAATTATTAACTGAACTGCACAAATATATATAATTAATTAACAAAATAGTGGATTATGAACTGAATAAAGTCCATAGTTTGTTAACCACTATATCAAGTTATAAACAAGAAACAACAAACTCTTGAATAACAATAAGGATGTATTGAGACAAACTTTAGCAAAAGAAAATGTGTGTGAGGAAAGGTTTTAAATAAAGTATCAGAAAATGAATTGATTTAAAGAGTACTGAGCGATATATATGTATTAAAAATTAAGTAATACGTGGTAATTTTTGTAAAACTATCGATGTCAAAAAACATAAAATAAAATAAAAAATTTATAACAGTTAAACAGTCAAATACTTACATGTTGTGAATTAGCCAGTAAACAATTTTTTATTCTCACTGATATATTGGATTGTAAAAGATTAAAAAATACATACACATTGATATTTAAAATCACTATTAAGAGTAACTCCTATAATCAAGCCAAAAGTCTTACAAAGTAACATAATGACTAGACCTTACAAAAGTCTCCCTTCAGTGAGAAGCAAAATACATTGCAGATTTTATTTATTTATTATTTTTTTTTGGAAATATGAAAAACACTTATATTAAAATAAAACAAACAACACGTAGATGAAAATAATAATAAAAAAAAAGATTCTATGGCTCCGTTTGTTTAGAAAGAAATAAATGATAGAAAATGGAAATGGTAGAAAGTTAAGTGAAGTAATGGAAAAAGAAAATAAAAATTTATTTTCTTGCATGTATTTGAATAAATAAAAAATTTTGTAATAAAATGATGGGAAAAAAATATAATCACTGTATAACATGGGATTGCGGAGAGAAACATAAGTAAAAGGAAAAACAAAATAAATTTTGTCAAGATTTGTAGGAAAAAATAAATTTCCCTCCATAGTTTGTAAGAAAGTATTAGCCTTTGTCAAGATTTGTAGGAAAAAATAAATTTCCCTCCATAGTTTGTAAGAAAGTATTAGCCTGACTAATAAGTTAATGCGAGTTGTATAGGAAAATTTAATTTTCATTCATTTCTAAGACTCTCTATCTAAACAAGTATATAAAAATTATTATTATTATTATAATAATCACTGTATAACATGGGATTGCGGAGAGAAACATAAGTAAAAGGAAAAACAAAATAAATTTTGTCAAGATTTGTAGGAAAAAATAAATTTCCCTCCATAGTTTGTAAGAAAGTATTAGCCTGGCTAATAAGTTAATGCGAGTAGTATAGGAAAATTTAATTTTCATTCATTTCTAAGACTCTCTATCTAAACAAGTATATAAAAAATTATTATTATTATTATAATTTTTTTTTTCTTTTACTTTCATGTATTTTCTATCTAATCAAACTGAGCCTAAAGAGCCAAACAAACAATTAAACAACAATAATTAACAAACTTTTGGCTCAATATTTAACAAAATCATTTATTGTCATGTGAGATTTTCTGCTAAAAATCTAACTGTATTTTCTTATAGGAGCTCATTACTACCTCCACAAATCGAAAATCACAATTAAAAATTGTACAATTATAAAAAAAATTATAATTACAAAAGTGAAACTTCCCTAATAATCACAATTTATCCATATTCAAAAAATAAAAAAAAAATATTAAAGGAGTAATTATTCCACTACTCTAGACCAATGTTTCATCTGATTTACTTGACGTTTTGCGTATAACCTTTTAAAACTCAAATAAAAAAAATGATAAGTCTTGCTATTTAAGTCAGTAATTATTAATTACTTAATAATTTTAATACTTTTTATGATGAAAGAGAAAAGGGAAAAAGATAAAGATTTTCCATATCCAAAAAGGGATAAGGTTATAAGACACTAATGTTAGGTAACTTAAAATTTTGTGGCTTAAATGGCTCAAATCACTTAAAACGACGTCGTTTTGACAAATTTTGAGCGTAAAACGACGTTGTTTTGACATATTTAAGTTATTTGAGTCACAAAATTTTGAGTTACCAAACATTTTCTAATGTCTTATTTGATTTATTAGAATGAGATCAAATGAAATAGTGATTTTTAAAACTTTCTTATGGAATGATTATTTTTTTTTAAATAGTGAAAGATGATTTTATTTATAATGCATCTATCATTATTTTTTTAGTCTAAACTAAACATAAAAATGAATATTTTGATAAAATATTCGTTCCATTTCATTTTATTGCATTTTTTTTCCCACTAAATTTGAGTAAAAATTTCATTTGATATTAAGTGCTCTAACAGAAAATTTTAAACTTTCATCAAAAACACCGGTTAACTAGTCGGACGATCGGACATATATCCCAGCCATTGTATTTTTTTCATAAATTTTTGCCTAGAGATGTTCATCCGGAGACATCTAGTAGTGAAAATCCAACTATTATAAACATTAATTTGATGAAAGGTCTAGACGTTCTCAATTTGGTAATTTTTTTTAATATTTTCAATTTAATACTTATTTGATAAAACTATTAAAATATAAGAAAAAAATGATTTTTTTATTAAATTAAATTTAATGAAAGAATTAATGACCCAATGTTTGAGATGGTCATCATACTCATAAAAAACATATGAGAGGAGTAGCTCCAGTTCGACTCCAGTGTACAAGTATAGAGAATCTGAACACGGATTTGGTTTCATGAAGCATTGAACTCTTCCCCCAATCCGTATTTCTTAGAATCTGAAAAACAGGTAGAGAGAGAGAGAGAGATGTAAAGCATGGCTTTAAAAGCTCAAGGCCACTTGGGTTGGTTGGTTGGTCCTAGTTGTTTCCCTTTTATGGAAGTACACAGTAGTAAGTAGTAGTAGCGTTTGCTTTGCCTCGAAAAAGAGCTCATTCAGATTCAGAGCAGTGCACGTGTAAACCAGTACCTCAAATATGGAAAATATTTGAGATGCATAAATAAATCATATTCACAATTATATTTAATGATATGACATTATGTTAGGAGCAACCATATGTAATTCTAATTTTAGAAGTTTAATTGAATACCAATAATGTGGTGGAGAAAAAAAAATAAAGAAGTTAAAACATCACATTAATGGGTGGATTATATCTTCTAGAGTTTCTTTAGAGCATTTCTAACCATGCTCTATATCTTTAAATTTGAAGCATCTTTCCTTTATTCTCAACTCCAACTCATCTTGTATAGTCTTCTCCCAATAGAGAAGAGGAATGTTTCATCCCTCAAATATAAAAGGAGTATAAAAAATGAAGGATGATCTCTATAGCACTATTTATATTTTTTAAATACCAATTTTGTTCTCAAGTCCTTTTACTTTTAAATTTATATACCAAATATATCCTTTTGTATTTTTTGTTATATGTTATAAAATACAAATAACTTTTAATATGTACATCTAAATTTTATAAATTTTTTATCATTAAAAATATTAAAATTACATCTTTAAAATTAGTCTAATATTAAATATATTTAACAAAAACTTAAAAATTAAATATTAATAATGTTGCAAAATTTGTTAACTTTTGTACAATCCGAATTAATCACTATCATTTATACTTCACATTCTTTCAAAGCCTATGTCTAGCATCTATCTTCTTCATTAATCAGTATCATTTCTTCATTAACATGCTTTGCATCCATTTCTTCTTCAGAAGCTCTGCAGTCATTTCCTTTGTTGTATGAGGGTGTGGTTTTTCTATAAAATAATAGATGGTAAATAAAATAAATGGAGAAAGAATTGATGGTTAATTTTGGATGGAAATATTTAGAGAAGAAAATGAATA